TTCGGATCGCCCATTCCCTCCAGGATGGCGACGAACGTCTTATGCAGTACGATCGGCCCCTCGGCGCCATCGTACCTGATTTCACGGTTCGGCTCGCCCATTCCCTTTCAGGATGGCGACGAACGTCTCTTATGCAGCACGATCAGCGCCCCAGCGCCATCGTGTCTGGCTCACGTTAGGGTCGCCCATCCCTTTCAGGATGGCGACGAACGTCTCTTATGCAGCACGATCAGCGCCCCAGCCCCATCGTGTCTGGCTCACGTTAGGGTCGCCCATCCCTTTCAGGATGGCGACGAACGTCTCTTATGCAGCACGATCAGCGCCCCAGCGCCATCGTGTCTGGCTCACGTTAGGGTCGCCCATCCCTTTCAGGATGGCGACGAACGTCTCTTATGTAGCACGATCAGCGCCCCAGCGCCATCGTGTCTGGCTCACGTTAGGGTCGCCCATCCCTTTCAGGATGGCGACGAACGTCTCTTATGCAGCACGATCAGCGCCCCAACGCCATCGTGTCTGGCTCACGTTAGGGTCGCCCATCCCTTTCAGGATGGCGACGAACGTCTCTTATGCAGCACGATCAGCGCTTCAGCGCCATCGTGTCTGGCTCACGTTAGGGTCGCCCATCCCTTTCAGGATGGCGACGAACGTCTCTTATGCAGCACGATCAGCGCTTCAGCGCCATCGTGTCTGGCTCACGTTAGGGTCGCCCATCCCTTCCAGGATGGCGACGAACGTCTCTTATGCAGCACGTCTGCCTCTCGGCGCTGACATGCCCGGTTTATCGATGAGAGCCACCGCTTTCTATCCCTTCTCACATTCCTTCTCTCATACATTGCACCCATACATTACATGCATTCATGCATTCATGCATCATACCTCATACATTCATACATACACACGTGCATCATGTTTTGACAGTACCGCGACGTCGGTTTATAGATGCATGGACCTCTAAGCTTCTCCGTTGGAAAGCTCGAGTCAGAGTCCTTTACTCTCGCCTGATGCATTCAGGGGGAGCGTGCCCGTGGAGGAGCACCCTTCGCCTGACCCCGTCGGGAACGGGGGTGCCTCACCGGCAGCTTACGTTCAGGAGTGCAGACACCCACTCATATATTATGATTATTCGAAGACACAGGTTCCAGCTAGACAGAGGCAGAGCGCAGGCAAGAGTATACTTTCTCGAGCAGATTCGCGCACTCACTACTCAAGAAACTGGGGGACTTGTGTTGGGATATATTATCCCGGCCTATTACTGTTCAGGAGTCCAAGACATTATTCAGTACGGAGCCCGAGCAGCTAGGCCCTTTTCGGCCCATCCGGCCCAGTTTAGCCATTTGGGCCCACTCCGGCCCATTAGGGTGGAGAGCATCCCCTTCCCCTATTCTCTATAAATATGGGAGTTTTCCTCCATATTAGGGATCCTTTTTTAGCTCCATCTTCCTTCTTCCTTCTTAGTTAGCTTACAAGACTCCATTAATGGGAGCTCAAAATGTACTTTGTAATGGTGAGGAGAGTCCTAATGAGAAAGAGGGGGCTTGGACATTAGCCTAAAAAGTCCCGTGGTTTTCTCCCTTTCGGGTTTCCACGTAAAAACTGAGTGTTCATACATATATTTACTATATCGTGTTGGATTAAACTCAACATATACTTTAACTAATATTAATATGACAAATGTAAAAATGTACTACTTTTTTTACTTTAATGAGAAATGTAGCAAGTAACTAATATTAATATGAAAAATGTACCAATTAAGTAGTTTAACTAATATTATTATGACAAATGTAAAACTTAACTAGTTTTTTTTTTTTTTACTTTAATGAGCAATGTATGAAATAACTAATTTTAATATGACAAATGAAACAATTAAGTACTTTAACTAATTGAAATATGACAAATGTAAAAATATACTACTTTAACTATTTTTTTCTTTAAAGAGAAATGTAGAGAAATGTAACAATTAACTAATTTAATAGATAAATTAGAAGTCTAACAATTAACTACTATTATAAGTAATATATAATATAATGTTTATAGTATATAATATATAAGTATATTACTATAAGATGAGTAATACACTTATACTTAATACTTTAATATATATATATATAAGTATATATTAACTAAATGTAATATGTAAATATAAGTAAATAACAATAGTATGTATAAAAACTAAATATCAAATAAATATGAATGTGTATAAGTATATATAGTATATATAATGTGTAAATATATTATAAGTAATATATAATATAATGTTTATAGTATATAATATATAAGTATATTACTATAAGATGAGTAATACACTTATACTTAATACTTTAATATATATATATATATATATATATATATATATATATATATATTAACTAAATGTAATATGTAAATATAAGTAAATAACAATAATATGGATAATAACTAAATATCAAGTGAATATGAATGTGTATAGTATATATACTTATATAGTATATATAATGTGTAAAGAATTATAATATGAATGTGTATAAGTATATATTTTTAAATAGATAATTAATATATAAGTAGATATAATAATTATATAAATTATATATATGTAGAAAGAATTTGGAGAAGATGAAGAATGAAAATGATTGAATATGAGAGATTTAGAGTAGAGAATTAGAGAGTAGGAAGAGTTGTAGAAGAAGAGATGTAAAAAATGTAGAGAAAATAGGAGTTTAAATAGATTTTTTTTTTATACCCCACCCCCACCCCTCACCCGACCCCCCCACCCCACCCCCTAATCCCCCAGACCCCCCCCCCCTCCTATGCTCCCAACGGCTAGGAGGAGCCTCTTCCAATTTAAAAAAAAAAAAATTTTTTTTTAAAATTTGGCCGTTGGAGGCCCGAACCGGCCCCGGCCCGGCCGGGCCGGTTCACTAAAATGGAGGCCCGGGCCCGGACCGCTATACCACCGGGCCGGGTGGCCCAAACCGGTCAAGAACTGGGTGACCGGGCCGGTCCGGGCCCGCACAGTAGCGGGCCGGTCCGGTTCCGGGCCGGTTGGCCCGGCCCGAGTCCACCCCTATTCAGTTGCTTGTCTACTGTATCTCAGCTTACTAGAGTAATCTGAATATCCGTACCAAATAAGATAATCTTACTGAGACTATTTGAAGCCATCGCTCCCTTGGATGTTACACTGAGATTAGCTAGCTATAGAACAATCACAAGCGGGTTTATTTCCTTTTTGTTTTAGCCACTTCCAGGTAGTCATGGACCCAGGCCAGGTGGGTTCCGGTTCGGGCCTGGGCCCGGCCGGGTTTTTTTTTTGGGAAGGAAGAACCGGAACCGGTCCGGGTAGGCAGCGTTCCGGGTCGGGCCGGTTCATGTTATTTTTTTTAATTTTCTTTTGCTTTTCTAATTAACCCCCGACCCCCCCCCCCCCACCCCCTCACCTCAAACCCCCCCAAAACACTCAGACCAACCCGGGAGAAACCAAAAAAATTGAAAAAACAAAAATTAGAAGAAATAGGCCAGGCCGGTTCTGGGCCGGTTCCACTTTTAGGAGGCCCGAGCCCGTCCCATTTGACTCCTGGTTCGGGTGCCCCGGACCGGTCCTATGACCGGGTACCGGGCCGGGCCCAAATAGTACCGGTTCTGGGCCGGGGGGCCCTAGTCCATGACTACTTCTATGTTTCAATTAAAACATGTTATCTCAAGTAGTAATCCAGTATTCATTTTCTTGTAATATATAACCAACCAATAATCATATGATTGATTTCTCAGCTCATAAAACTTTCCACTGGGGCGTAACTCACTGGTAGAAAGGGGTCTCACAAGTCACAAGGGAGATGTTATGAGTTTAAGTTCAATGAACGATTTGGGATGTAACTCAACTCTATTTCCATCAAAGTGTGATCAGAGTTCAATTTACATCTCAAATAAATGCCTGGTGGACTGTGAATAGGGGTGGACTCGGGCCGGGCGGCCCGGCCCGGAACCGGCCCGACCCGGTTACTGTTTGGCCCGGCCTGGCCCGGGGCCCGGTGGGTCCCCCGGTTCGGTTCGGACCGGCATGGCTGCTGGGGCGGTTCGGGCTCGGGCCCTGTTTTTGGTGAACCGGCCCGGCCGGTTCGGGCCGGTTTTGAATTTTTTTTTTTTGAATTTTTTTTAAAGTTTTGGGTTGGATTAGGTATTTTGGGCCATTTGAGGTGGTTTGGGGTGGTTTGGGGTTGAGGGGGAGGGGTTGGGGGTTAAATAGAAGAGCCAAAAAAAAAATTAGAACCGGTTAGGCCCGGCCCGGCCCAGAACCGGAACCGGAACCGCCCACCGGCGGTTCGGGCTCGGGCCCAACTTTCTTGGCCCGAGGCCCGGCCGGGCCCAGGCCCGAACCGGGCCCGAGTCCACCCATAGCTGTGAAGGATGAAGTGTCATTCTTTTGGATCTTTTTGCATTCCAAAATCCAAACCTAAAGATAAGGTGGGATTCATGAAAGTTGTTCCGTACAAATTTTGCGATATATTTTGCATATATAATTATTCAAACCACAGAAAGAAATCATAGCTCACCGATTTTGAGGCCGTTTGGCAGCACTGTTTTTCGGCTTATCAGGCTTATCAGCCAACTTTTTCACCAAACACGTAACTTTTGCTTCCGCGCGCTGAATTATGTAATAAGCAGAAAAAGTAAGGTTGAAGTTACTTTTCTGGCTGTATTGGCTGAAGTTACTGCAGATGACCATTTTAGCTATTTTTACATATAATTTTTTCTTTGTTTTATTGATAAAATATATTTTAGAATTTTTTTTTCTTAAATCAGCAGAATCAGCCAATGCAGCCACTTCAGCCAGAACTTCATAAATTTCAGCAGAATCAACCAAAACAGCTGATTTTCGTGCTACCAAACGGGCTCTTCATATCAAGTGACCATTTCAACTCCTTTATTTCATTTAAATCTTCCATATCTAAGTGTTGTATCTAAATAAACAATCTTTCATTACTACAAAGTATTGGATTATTATATGTTACTTGAGAATTAATATGGTGGGAATATTGTGAACCATTTTTCAAGTAACAGAAATGGAACAAAGAGAGTACTAACAGCAGAAAGACAAATCCAGCCGATGCACAATTCCCATTGATGATCATGTTTTAAATAACAAAAAAGGAAACAAAGAGAGAATACTAATAGCAGAAAGATATATCCAGCCGAATGCATATTTGACATTGATGAATGGTGTAGTTCACAACAAGTAACCAAAAAACACAATGATTTCAACAATCTTGGATCTAATAAAATAAAACACACCCAGAATCACACCAATTTCTTTGGTATAATGAGATACAAATCAAAGTAGAAACACTTAGAACCCCTGAAAGAAAATAAAAATGGAAAAAAACGTCTGATCAGAAGAAATCTTAAGATCAGGTAACTAATAAAACGTTTTGAACCAAGAGTGGTGCTTATTAATCAACAACCAGAAGAAGAGATGGCTGCAGGAAACCCCTTTTGCAGAAAAATTATACGGTTAATCATTTCAAGAACTTCAAGCTTTGGGCTTAAGGATCTTGACAGTCTCCCAGGTGAAGTCAGGATCTTCTCGCCCAAAGTGACCATAAGCTGCAGTTTTTCTGGTACCGGAAGTTGCCACCTCTCTTCAGGTCAAGATTGATCGTGATCATCCCTGGCCTGAAATCAAAGTTCTCCTTAATGAGAACCAATATATCCCTGTCCGGAATCTTCCCTGTCTTGTACGTGTCGACAAACACAGATAGCGGTTCAGCAACCCCAATAGCATAAGAGACCTGGACGAGGCAGCGGCGGGCGAGTCCCGATGCCACCACACTCTTTGCCGCCTGCCTTACGATGTAGGCCCCGCTCCGGTCCACCTTGGTAGGGTCCTTCCCCGAGAAGGCTCCCCCACCATGCGCGCCCCACCCGCCGTACGTGTCGATGATAATCTTTCGACCTGTGAGCCCAGCATCCCCGTGGGGCCCGCCGATGACGAACCGACCTGACGGGTTGAGGTGGAAGATGGTCTGGTCATCAAGATACTCGGCGGGGAACCACCGGCTTGATCACATGTTCTTTCAAATCAATGGCGATCTGCTCATTTGTGACATTCTCATCGTGTTGGGTCGATATGAGGATGGTGTGGACCCTGAGTGGGACCATAGCACCGCTATCGTTCCTATACTCGACTGTGACCTGGGTCTTGCCGTCGGGTCTCAACCACGGGCAAGTCTTGTTCTTTCTTACCTCCGTGAGTTTCGCACCAAGTTTGGTAGCAAGCACATGGGTTAGTGGCATGAGCTCAGGTGTCTCATCGGTAGCATAACCAAACATGTGACCCTGATCACCAGCCCCAATATCTTCAGGCTTCTTTGTGAAATGACCATGGACACCCTGGGCAATATCAGGGCTCTGTTGCTCAATGTTTACCAGGACTTTACAGTTGTCTGCATCGAGACCAACGTCAGCTGAGGTAAACCCAATGCCCCGGCAAGTGTCACGCACTATCTTCTCATAGTCAACTTTCGCCTTTGTTGTGATTTCTCCAAAAACCATCACCATATTCGTCTTTGAACATGTTTCACAGGCAACCTTACTGTCTGGGTCTTGCTCCAGGCATGCATCCAGAATGGCATCTGAGACTTGGTCACAGAGCTTGTCTGGGTGTCCTTCATTCACCGACTCGGAGGTGAACAAGAAGGTCTCCATTTCTGTTTGTTCACACACACACACACAATTAACATCTTTAGTCAGCATTTCATCATCTTTAAGTAATAATAATCATAGAAACCTTGATATTTTCTCATTCAAACAAGTCCAATATGATAAATAAAAGTGGGGGAAATGATAAGGAAAGATATTTTCCTGTGTTTTGTTTTACCTTGAAAATCCTACGTAGCACCTGTATATGATTAGAGAGGTTTACAAAATGCGTATATTTCTTGATCTTCGTGTAGTAGAAATAAATATGGAGCAAGTAAAAATGAGTTTGAAAATACATCCAAAATAAATTCTATCCAAGTTTTCCTTCCATATTGTTCCACTTCGTTATAGTTACTTTTCAGCCAGGATTTTTATATATTTCCACATTACAAGCACATATCTAAACACTTGACTTTCAGAACTGAAAAGTATTTCATTGCGTTTCACCAATTCATGCATCGCCTCTTTAACCCATTTTTCTACTCGTAGTATGGAATTCAAGATCCCATTGCAGCCTAATCAAAACTCTATAGTTGCCTATTAGAATTATAAATCGAAACACATAGAACAATACAAAGGGATTATATTTTGTCTTCAACGCTCAGTAACAATGAAGCTCATTCCTGTTTGTACACATATTCATTAACGGAGCCATCAGATCCAAGAGGGCGCAGGAAATTTAAGATATACAAAAAAATTGTGCGAGCGGGTGGGGGGGGGGGGGCTCCGGTCTCAAGCTCAGCGGCTGAATTCCGATCTACACATTTTACAAACGAAAAACATGCGACACACAAACAACAATGCGATCCAATTCTAGAAACTCGTACAGGCATCAGCATTACTCAAATAACAATTCCACATCATTAAGCATTTAAGCTGATCTGATGATACGTACCAGGAATGGATTGGAATGAAAGCTGGATCTGGGAACAAAGAAAATGGAAGAGGGAGGGGGAGTTATGGTCAGAGGGCAATTGTTTAGGCGCGTATATATATAGCGAGTTTGAAGGGACGTGAGTGTAACTCGCTCCGAACATTGTGCTGGTGGGGTGGGTGGTTGATAGCTAATTTACCATTTTGTTCACATTCTGGTGTGCTGAGGTTGGTTGTACCATATGCTTTAATGGGCGTACATAATTGGTCGTGGTCCATATATTCATATGTATTCTTTTTTTGCCAAAATTCTTTTATTTTCCTTGTTGTTTGGTATCAGTCATTTTCCTTCCCCTAATTTTTTATTAACTTTGTGTGCTTGGTGAACTTTTCTTCTATAATAATTGTGATTCATCCCATTGAATTTCATTTCATAATATTCTTTTGCAGCTATCCAATGGAACAGCAATTTCTAATTCGCTTTAGTGTTCTTTCCCATTATTATTGACGTTGTCGTTGTTAGACAAAAAAAGTGTATTCACTCAGTCAATCTAATTTTTCTCTGTAATCCAGCACCGTCAATATATTCACCCAACACAGTTTTTCTTAATTAAATTCATATATCCTTACTTTTATTATTATACATCATTTTTTACGGGAAAAAAATTAAGAATAATTATTATTTAAAAATCCAAACATTCCAATGAAAAAATAAAAAAATTGGATTTTATATTTTTCGCATATATAAAATAATGCACACTTGTGTTACTATACATGTAATTTTAAATAAAATCTAACTTTTTTGAGAGAGATAATCTAGCCAACAATTACAATATGTTATACTAGTATATAATATTACTTTATTTACTAAATTACTATGTTAATTCTTTTAGTGGCTTTAATAGCGTGTACTATATTTTAAGATTAAAAAATGACACAAATTATTAATATAATAATAATATCATAAAGACACATAGGTGTGATTAAGTTAACAAAAACGGAGGAATAAATCCACATACATTGCAAGAAATGGGAAAAGCCACAATATAAATGTTTTAAACTTAACCCTTGGATCATTTTTCTTCCCATTGAAATGGGTTTCAATTAACCCCAGCCGTTCATCTATCCACTAAATAAATGTTTTTGGAATGTCAAATAGCTCAGTGCACATTACCGATGCTCTTGCTTTTCTTCTGACAGAGTTTTGGCAGCATGGCTCCCAATTAATTTTAATCAGCAACTTCCTTTATTATTTTGGAGTGGAGTGAATACACGGATGGTTATTCCCACACCCAAAGTTTCACCAACCCATTATCCCCTCTTCAAATACAAGGGTTGTATCGAATTTGAGGGTGAAAAGATCAAATATATCGTATCCACCCCAGGATTGCAACTGGTCTTAAGGTGGTGGTGGTTGTTGTTGTTCTTTATTATTGTTGTTATTTTTATTATTTTATTTTTATAATTCTTATTATAGTTATTATTGTCGTTGTTGTTGGAATAATGAATCAGGTCTAATATTGTCATCCCATTACATGCGAGCTTTGGCCTGATCAGGCTTAGAGCATAGCCCGACTAGCTGAAATGGATTCAAGATGATTTAATTATGGGAAAGGGGTCAGATAAGCCATCGAACTTACATAAAAAGGTCAAAAAAGCTCTTATATAGGAGGTTCTGTCCGGCTGTCACCATTTGGGGCGTTCCTGCAAGAATTTTTTGATGAAATATTTTAAGCATCTTATTCATTAAGTCTAGTTTACTCATACCAAATTTCAGCTAAAACTTAAATCGGGAAGGCATTCAAATGAATTCTTGAAGATAACTGTGCAGTTAAAAGCGCAGTTATCTTCAAGAATTCATTTGAATACCTTCCCGATTGAAGTTTTGGCTGAAATTTGGTATGAGTAAACTAAACTTAATGAATAAGATGCTCAAAAGATTTCATCCAAAAAATCTACCGGGAACCGCCCCAATGGCGGCGGCCGGACAGAGCCTCCTATATAAGGGCTTATTTGACCTTTTTATGTAAGTTTGAGGGTCATCAGGGGCGGAGCTAGAGGGGTGGCCAACCGGGCCACGGCCCGCCCCAAATTTGAAAATTCTTTGTATTTTTAATCTAAAAATTTATGTGAAAAAAAATTATCTGAAAAATTCTTTGTACCGGCCCAGCCCAACCTTCAATCCTAGCTACGCCCCTGAGGGTCATTAATCAGGCCGGCTGGCCCATTAATGTAAATATTAGTTCATAGATTGGGCCAAACCCGTGTAACCTTTTATCATTTGACTTGTTATAAATGCTTATAAACAAGCCATACAATTCTCATATAAAAAAAATTCTAGTCAAGATGTTTTCTACCAACATTGATGCTTCATTGAGAACCATCTCTCATATTATTTGGTAGAAACTTATTATGATTTTGGAAAAATCAAGTGAAATTACTCCAAAACTATACAAAATGTATAAAAATTCAGCAATAATGGGTCCAAAAAATCTAAAAAACAGAAGGGTTTTTGGTTTGGCCCTAAAGATTGACCGATGTGAAAAGGAAGAAAGATTGACTGCTCGAACAACGCCGCTGATGCTTGGTATCCTTGCCCATAGCCTCACTTCAATAGATCATCCACTCGTCGGTAGACAGGGAAGCCAATCCTCTCTTCTTAGGGATAATTAATTCAATTTCTAATAATTAAAATATTATTCCCTCCGTCCTAATTTGTTTGGCATAGTCAACGGTTTTTTGTCAATCAGTAATAAAAGTCAATCCTCCCTTCTTATGGATAATTAATTCAATTTCTAATAATTAAAATTTACATATTCATAAACTACATTAAAACCTCTTCAAATTTGTACACTTCAAATTAGAATATAATTAAAAATTGGCATTAATTTGGGACAAAGGTAGTATCTAATTTTAGTTTGTCCAATGCATTAATAATGTAATGTACTACGTAGTATTATTAAAACATCTCAAAATGAATTGTATGATTAATACAGTGAACTACTCGAACTACTCTTATGTGATGAATTTTTATCGGATTAAATTTTAGGTGATTTATCTGTTTAAATTTTACTATGGATGCGTCAGATCCACACTGAAATTATTAGAAATTTTATATAATTCATAAAAATCTATGTGGCACAGTACACCCTCCTGTTGGGAGTGAGGAATCCAACAAGATATTTATATTTTTTTAGAAATAATTCGGAAACCATTTTATTCAATATTTAATAAATGTTCTATTTTATATTTTATAAATTTTTGGCTTTTACTCTAGTTGGAAGTGGCAATTGCAACTAGATGTGTTTGTTGGGATTTAGTTGCGGTCTATAATTTTAAAAAGGGAAAATGGAAACTAATAATCCAACCTTTTAGCGGTCTTATTTCAATAATCCCACCTTTTGATTATTCATGAATAATCCAACATTTGCACCCCATCTTCGTTCATTGGTCCCTGGTCGGTTAATGACCTACTATTCCAAGTTATTTTCTTATCTTTGCAAAATATTATCTTTGTGAAAGATGAGATTTATGGTATAATGATTTGCAAAGATAAGAAAATAGCTTGGAATAGCAGGTCATCAACCGGTCAGGGACCAGTGAATGAAGATGAGGTGCAAAGGTTGGATTATTCATGAATAACCAAAAGGTTGGATTATTGTAAGAAGACCGCTAAAAGGTTGGATTATTAGTTTCCATTTTCCCTTTTAAAAAAAATGAGTGCTTTACCTAGTATCCACGCTGAACTCCTTTTTTATGTTGATAAAAAAAATGAACTCGACTTGTCCCCTTAAATATTGATCAACATTGTAAAGGTTATGGTCATTCTTCACATTTAGGATATGATATTTCTGATTTTTGAAGCGTTAGGTTTCAGCGGCAGCCTAGCTGATTCTACTGACTCCCTCCGGACATCATTGAAGTTTAAAAGCCTAATGAATGCTTAGTATTGCATTGGGTGCAAAACTGCAAATTTGAGCTTAGTCAACTCACTCTCCTCCACCCGGGTCTACACTTTTCTCCCAACAGAATCCCCCGATGCGTTTCCGCCCCGTAGTCGGAATTGGGAGTTCCGACTCCTGTATTTTGGTCATTTCCTCGTACAATTGATAGTGATTATAGAGAAGTTTACCGCCTCATGCAAAACCCTAAAGCTCCAGGGAGGAAAGCCTCACATCAGTACATCACCAACTTAATTTCTTAAGAAAGAATCTTAAGAAAGAATGACATATATATCACTCTCCAACTTTCATTAGGCAAAAATATGACCAAAATTCCTTTTGGCAAAAAAGTGACCGATTTGGTTTTTTTCCTTCTACGCTTTGGAGGCCCATCATCTTCTGCGCTGCAAGCCAAGGATCGTTGCCAGGAGCAGAGAAGACCTCCCCCTCCCCATGTTGTCGCCCTCTGCAGACGGAACCTCGCTGTGTCACGCCCCAGACCGCAATCCAAGCGCGTGTACAACCGCCGTATAACTAAGTGACGTCACCCACGAGTCAACCTCACTTAATTACACAAGGCGTTCGAGAAAACAATCCATCCATACTCAGTAGTAAACATACATAACAACATCACATTTAGACCAATGAATAGCGGAAATATTCAACGGTAAGTCATGAGCCACAACCGGCCAATAACATGGGCGTGCAAGCCCCAAAAATAGTTTATAGTAAAATAAACATCCATGAGCAAGTGTGCGGTAGTTTGAAAGAAAATAAGGAAGCACGAACCACGTCTTCCTGATTTGATACCACCCTTGAGAAGGTGCAAGTAGCAAGCCCTAGCTTCAACCTGAAAATGGTGGGCCCCCCCGAAGGGGTCAGTACAAGTACCGAGCGAGTAGCAGGCTAAATATAGAATAACTAGCGTTTCAAGTATGAGACCCAATCATAGGGTGATACATATACGTATAGTCCTTTCCCCAAGTTCGAAATACATATTAGTATACATACGCTTCAGAATACCCGACCCGTAGGTCATTATTTATTTGGGAAAATAATAGTAGCCAATATCCTTGACTTAAATCCCAACCCACCCATACACCTATGAGTGTATAGAACTCCTCCTTGTTCAAGTAAATTATCATAAGGACACCGCCCGGTCCTAGATTATTAAATGTAATCTATGAGTTTTGAGGATACACACCCGATCCTTGGGTACTCCACCCTATAACCGAGTTTTTGAGGATAACCGCCCGATCCTTGGGTGCTCCACCCTATATAACCGAGTTTTGAGGATAACCGCCCGATCCTTGGGTACTCCACCCTATATAACCGAGTTTTGAGGATAACCGCCCGATCCTTGGGTACTCCACCCGACCTATGACTTACCACATATCACACTAGATAGGGTCTATATCATATTTAGTCATTCATAACTAATTCAATACATAAAACTTATGTATCACATTCCATGCAAAGCCATGCAATTATGTAAATGTATAATTAATTAATACCAGTCGGTATTAATTAATCCATTATCCATCGGTCAACGTTGTGGTTGACCGCCGTCTCAAATCTTACACTTATTAACTAAATCATCATATAATTAAGTTAATAATACTCATTTGTGTTTCTTTTACACTTCAAGCTAATATGCATTTTATATATTTCCTCATATCATATTTCATGCATAAACAATTAATTCTTTTCATACAACTTAATAATGTTGGCTAATCACATGTTTAAATATCTTTTAAACATCATTATGAACACATATAACATTTATTTAGGTAATCTCATAATTAACCCAAAAGTTATAAGATATTAAGCCGTCCACTCACCTTGAACTAGCGTTATGAAGTTCTACCCCTCTTGGTTGAACTCCGGTGAAACTCCGGCGACTCTTGGTCAACTCCGGCGACAACTCCGGCGACTTTTCCAACTTTGTGAAATCACTTGAAATACCTTTCACAAGTTCCTAACAAGGTTTTATAATCATAAAACCCATATTAATACAAATAACCTCAAAACGGTTATTTTCCGGTGAACCGGTCGTTTTGGCTTCTAAGTCCGTTCTTGGACATAGAATCACTTTCCAACCCATAAATCCATACTTATAACATGTAGAACCCTCTTAAGGATCCTTCACATGATATATATCTTATATGGTAGAAGAAAAATAAAGGAAAAGTTATAATAAGGTCATTACCTTAATTGTTCACACTTTTCCCAACCTTTTTCCTTCTCCAAACACTCCTCTTGGGACCTTCTTCCTTGAGCTCGAATTTGGGTGTGAAAATGGTGGATTGTAGAGCTCTTCCTTGCTATTCTTGGGTGCTTGGTCGAGCTAATGAGTGAGGGAGGGGAGGGGATGGCTATCTTTGTCTCATTTGGCAAATGAGTGAGGAAAAGGGCCCCTTTGGGTGTACCTTTGATGCCCAAGCCTCCTCCTCCACACCTTCCTTAGTCAACTCCAGCCCCTCTTTGTCTAATCTAGCACAAAAAAACGTGGGGTGTCCCCCACTCATGTGGGAGGTCATCCCTTTGTGTCCCGATGTGTACAATCGGTCCCGAAAGTTGTATTTTTTGGACTGTTTTAAATATATTTTATTTTATCGGGTCAAATAAAATATATTATGTGCTCTTACTCGTTATGACATGTATAAGGAATATACATTCCCCAACTTTAATTTATAAGTCTCCGAAATTCAGTTTGGGTTGTTATCTGTTAAATTACCAGTACCGGTAATTTGGGCTTCTTTTGACCAATCGGTCAACTCTGGGCCTTTCCATAGCCCAAATGAAATATCCACCACTATATAAATATTATCTTGACCAAGATGAGTAAAATATGTGGTCTCGGAAATGTTGGGTGGTCCCCGCTCCCGATGTGGGTCCCACGTGCAATTTACTATTCACGCGAAAGAAATATAAAAATTTACGACTTCGTAAATTCATAAATTATTCCATAAGGTTTATTACATCATTTACGTAAAAGTAAATACATTTGGGGACGATGTTACAAGTTCACCCCCCCTTATTTGGGATTTCGTCCCCGAAATCCACGCGTCTAATCGAAAAGGAATGGGTATTGCTCCCTCATTGAGACCTCGGTCTCCCAAGTTTCCTCTTCGACTCGATCACTCCTCCAAAGAACCTTTACCATGGGAATCTCCTTGTTCCTCAACTTCTTAACTTGTTGACCAACAATCTGCACTGGTTCAACCGCATATTGCAAGTCCTCACGGATCTCTACCGGTGGTTTCTCAAGAATATGAGACGGGTCTCGTATGTACTTCTTGAGCATTGATACATGAAACACGTCATGTATCTTCTCAAGTTCAGGCGTCAACTTGAGTCGGTAAGCCACAGCCCCGATCCTTTCAAGGATCTCAAATGGACCTATGTATCGAGGGTTAAGCTTCCCCCTCGATACGAATCGGATGATGCCCTTCCAAGGATAAATCCTTAGGAAGACCTCATCACCGACTTCGAACTCCAACGGTCTCCGCCGTTTATCAGCATAACTCTTCTGTCGGTCCTGAGCGGCCTTCAATCTATCCCGAATGATCCTTACCTTGGCCTTGGTGATCTCAACCAGCTCTATCCCTTCGAGTTTGGCCTCGCCAACCTCGTCCCAACACAACGGTGTTCTGCACTTCCTCCCATACAATGCCTCATATGGAGGCATGCCGATACTTGCCTGATAACTGTTGTTATAGGCAAACTCCACTAGGGCCAAATGCTTGTCCCAACTTCCTTGGAACTCCAAAGCACATGCCCTAAGCATGTCTTCCAAAATCTGTATCACCCGCTCGGACTGTCCATCCGTCTGTGGGTGAAAAGCTGTGCTAAACTTCAGTTTAGTCCCCAAAGATGCTTGAAATTTTGGCCAAAATCGGGATGTGAATTGTGGATCCCTATCCGAGACAATGGATATTGGGACTCCATGTAATCTCACAATCTCCTCTGTATATAGTTTGGCCAATCTATCAAGAGGGTAAGTAATGTTGATAGGTAGAAAGTGTGCACTCTTGGTGAGCCTATCAACCACTACCCATACTGCATCGTAGTTGTTCACTGTTCGTGGCAGCCCCACCACGAAGTCCATGGTCACGTGCTCCCACTTCCACTCTGGGATGGTGAGTGGCTGCAAAAGTCCTGCCGGGTGCTGATGTTCTGCCTTAACTTGCTGGCAAGTAAGGCATCGACTGACATACTCTACGATGTCTCTCTTCATACCTGACCACCAGTAGCTTTCCTTCAAATCTCGGTACATCTTAGTACCTCCTGGATGCATAGCATAAGCTGAAGAATGAGCCTCCTCGAGTATAGACTTTCGGAGGTCTTCATTCTTTGGTATGCATACACGGTCCTTAAACAATAATAGACCGTCATCACGTACTCGGAAGTTCTCAACGGGCCCCGCAAGGATCCCTTCACGGATCTTCTGACATTCCTCATCAATGGCCTGACATCTACTGATCTCACTCAGCAATGTAGGCCTCACCTCGAACCTAGCAATGAGTGCCCTGGTCGTGGACACCTCCACGTGTGCCCTCAATACTCGTAGACAAGTAAGTAACGTCCCTGACGTACTCTTCCTGCTCAGTGCGTCGGCCACTACATTGGCCTTTCCGGGATGATAGTCGATGATCAAGTCATAGTCCTTGATCAACTCCATCCATCTCCTCTGCCTCATATTCAACTCTTTCTGAGTGAATACATACTTCAAGCTCTTATGATCAGTATAAATGTGACACGTCTCCCCGTAGAGATAATGCCTCCAAATCTTCAATGCAAACACTACCGCCCCCAACTCTAGATCGTGAGTAGGGTAGTTCACCTCGTGTTTCCTCAATTGCCTAGAAGCATAGGCAATCACCTTACCGTTTTGCATTGGTACACATCCAAGCCCTTGGATGCTAGCATCGCTGTAAATGTCATACCCTATCCCCTGTATAGGTAGGGCAAGGACTGGTGCTTCAGTAAGTCGTTTCTTCAATTCAAGGAACCCCTTCTCACACTTGTCGTCCCATAGGAACTTGGCCCCTTTCTTTGTGAGCTTCGTTAATGGAGACGCCAATACGGAGAATTTTTCAACAAATTTACGATAGTATCCCGCTAAGCCAAGGAAACTACGTATCTCTTTCACATTCTTGGGTCTCTCCCAATCCATGATAGCTTTTATCTTGGCGTTATCCACAGCTACGCCCGAACCGGATATGACGTGACCGAGAAAACCAATCTCCTTGAGCCAAAATTCGCATTTAGAGAACTTGGCAAAGAGTTGCTTTTCCCTTAGCCGATCAAGTATAAGCCCCAAATGATGTTCGTGTTCCTCCTCACTCTTGGAGTATATCAAGATATCATCAATGAATACTATCACAAATTGATCTAAGTACTCACTAAACACCCGGTTCATCAAGTCCATGAATGTCGCCGGTGCGTTGGTTAAACCAAATGACATCACAAGGAACTCGTAATGACCATATCTAGTGCGAAATGCACTCTTAGGTATGTCGCTCTCCTTGATCTTCAACTGATGGTACCCCGACCTCAAATCAATCTTCGAGAACACTATTGCCCCCCGAAGTTGATCAAACAAGTCATCAATCCTCGGTAAGGGATACCTGTTCTTGATTGTGACCTTGTTCAACTGTCGGTAGTCAATACACATTCTTAGTGTACCATCCTTCTTCTTCACGAAGAGTACGGGTGCCCCCCACGGTGAATGACTGGGTCTGATGAACCCGTTGTCCAGTAATTCTTGTAGTTGGACCTTCAACTCTTGGAGTTCGGCCGGCGCCATTCGATAAGGAGGAATCGAAATGGGTTTGGTTCCCGGCTCCACCTCAATTACAAACTCTATCTCTCTATCGGGTGGAAGCCCCGGTAGGTCTTTGGGAAAGACATCCGGGTACTTGCACACGACTCGCACCTCCTTGATGTCAACTTCCTTCTTCGTGTCGTCCACCACGTAAGCAAGGTATGCGTGGCACCCCTTTCTCATCATCTTCCGTGCTCTCATCACGGATATGATGCAAGCATTAGATTTTCCCCAATCTCCTTCGAAACATAGGGTGTTTCCTTGATCATCCTCGAGCTCCAACACCTTGGTGTAGCAATCTACTCGAGCATGGTGCTTCTCAAGCCAATCCATTCCTAGGATTGCATCGAACTCCAACATGCTTAGAGGTACGAAATCACAAGTCAAGGGTTGACCCGTCACTTCTACCTCACATGATGGATAGTAATGATTTCTCTCCACATCGTCTCCTAACGGTGTGGAGACTAGCAACGTTTGCGTCATAGGTGTCAATGGCACGTCAAGGCCCTCGGCGAACGCCTCACTCACAAATGAGCGTTGTGCCCCGGTATCGATGAGGATCCTCGCACACCTACCATTGATCTATAATGTTCCTACATTTATACACCATGTAAGATACATTTTCTAATGTTTTTACACATCTTTAGGAGGTTATTAAGTTAATACTAAGGTTTGGAATCAAACGGGGGTCCAAACGTAGGAGAACGGGGCGAAAAAATAAATTTTCGGGGGTTGGGGGTCCACGCACGGCGTGCCTGGGTGGCACGCACGGCCGTGCGTGCAACGAATTCTTCCTGCTCCCCACTGCCTCCCAGGCACGGTGCCAGGCACGGCGTGCCTGCGGCCGTGCCTGGCCAGATTTCTTCGAGGCGACACTGCCTTCCAGGCACGGTGCCACGCACGGCGTGCCTGCGGCCGTGCCTGGCCAAAAAAATTTTCGGGGCGCCACTGCCTTCCAGACACGGTGCCACGCACGGCGTGCCTGCGGCCGTGCCTGGCCAAAAAATTTTCGGGGCGCCACTGCCTTCCAGGCACGGTGCCACGCACGGCGTGCCTGCGGCCGTGCCTGGCCGGCAGTGGCTGTGTTCCAGCCGATTTGGCCTAACTTGCCCGGTTTGACCCCGGGGTGGCCCGCACTCAATCCCAACGACGTATATGATCAAAGTAAGCCTAGAAATGCCCAGAATAAGTGTATTACCTGCGACGGAGTCCGGGTTTGCCCGCGCATCCGCCTCGGTCATCGCGTAGACTCGTGCTTGGGTCCCACCTTGGTTGACGGATGCGGCATGGCTTGTGGATGCACCGCCTCTTCCCGTACCGCCGTTTGACGGTCCCGCACGGTTTCTTCCCGTCATGGTCCCTCCCCCGGCTCCCGAGGCACTCTCTTGCATCAATTGAGGGCAATTGGCCTTCATATGGCCCGCATTCCCGCACTTAAAACACCTTGGTGGTTCATTGCACCTCCCAAAGTGTTGTTTTGAGCAATTGGGACATCTAGGTGGCCCCGAGTTCTGTGGCCTAGGTCCGTGCCACCTCGCATCCCTATTTTTCTTTGCCGGTGGAGCCGGCGCCTTGAATGGACCACCGCCACCACCACCACCACCGCCCCCGTGGTTGTTCCTTCGAGAATGATCGGGTGGCCCCGAATTATTCCACTTCCTCTTCTTCGCTTCTTCGGCGTCCCTTGCTTTCCTCTCATTCCACTGGGCCTCTCCAAGCATGCCCTGCTCTACCACCTCACTAAAGGTCATGAGGCGGGAATACGTGGCACGATCTCGGATGTCCAAGAGTAAGGCATCCCAGAAGTGCTCAGTCATGCGGTCCTCATCGATCGCATACTCCGGTAAGAACCTAGCCAAGGTCCTAAACTCTTGCTCAAGTTGCTTAACCGTGCAACCCTCTTTCTGCTTGAGGTTGGTATACTCCCTCCTTTTCACATTAACCTCGAAATCGGAGTAGTATTGAGCATAAAATTCTTGTTCAAAATTTTCCCATGAGATGTCCCCACGGTATTTCCCTTCTACACCTTCCCACCATGTAGAAGACATCCCCTCAAGTAGCCGTGAAGCGACAGTTAGCTTCACGTCCGGAGTAATCTGCATGTCTCTCGATGCATCCTTCACCTTCTTGATCCAATCGGCGGCAACGGTAATGTCACCGGTGCCGTCAAAGGACCTACACCCCAAGGCCCTAGCCTCCTTGAGGTACTTGGAAATTCTCACAACAAAACCCCCTTCACGCCCACCTTGTGACGCCGCTGGGGTGGCCACGGAAGCTCCCCGGCTTCCTTGACCCGAACCTCCACGAGAGCCACGCCTCGCTTGACGCCTAAGGTCTCTCCTCAGTTTTTCTTTTTGATACCACTCAAGCAATTCGCCCATTTGGGCGAACTTGACATCACTCTAATCATCATCATCATCGGTGTATGTGTCACCCCCATCATACGGGGTCTCCTCATGCTCCGTTTCCGGAACGTAGGTTGAGTCATAGTCCTCGGTGTTGGTTTCATACACCGAGCTTACATGGCCATCACTCACAGTTTGAGCTTGATGACCCCCACGGCTTCCACGGCCTCCACGGCCTCCTCTTGAACCCCGAGATGCAGCCCGGCTTCCCCTTTGGGATGCTACCGGCGCCTGCCCCCTCGGATTGTTCCTGGTTGCCATCCGCCTGCCCTCCATCTCTGAAAGAAATATGGATGAGTCATTAGACTCCAATAAATGTCGATTGACGGAAAAACGTTACAGACACGTATTGGCCCAAGTCACTACCATACCAATTGTTAAGGGTACCGTCTTAACAATTAGAGGATTTGCAACTTAAGCACCAATAGTCCTATAAACGTCAAAATACAATGCTCATGGTTTTCGGTAAAACTCGTTTGTAAAATCTTTGTGAGAGGTTGATTATATAGTTTAGAACTGAGATGGCTCTGATACCACTTAATTGTCACGCCCCAGACCGCAATCCAAGCGCGTGTACAACCGCCGTATAACTAAGTGACGTCACCCACGAGTCAACCTCACTTAATTACACAAGGCGTTCGAGAAAACAATCCATCCATACTCAGTAGTAAACATACATAACAACATCACATTTAGACCAATGAATAGCGGAAATATTCAACGGTAAGTCATGAGCCACAACCGGCCAATAACATGGGCGTGCAAGCCCCAAAAATAGTTTATAGTAAAATAAACATCCATGAGCAAGTGTGCGGTAGTTTGAAAGAAAATAAGGAAGCACGAACCACGTCTTCCTGATTTGATACCACCCTTGAGAAGGTGCAAGTAGCAAGCCCTAGCTTCAACCTGAAAATGGTGGGCCCCCCCCGAAGGGGTCAGTACAAGTACCGAGCGAGTAGCAGGCTAAATATAGAATAACTAGCGTTTCAAGTATGAGACCCAATCATAGGGTGATACATATACGTATAGTCCTTTCCCCAAGTTCGAAATACATATTAGTATACATACGCTTCGGAATACCCGACCCGTAGGTCATTATTTATTTGGGAAAATAATAGTAGCCAATATCCTTGACTTAAATCCCAACCCACCCATACGCCTATGAGTGTATAGAACTCCTCCTTGTTCAAGTAAATTATCATAAGGACACCGCCCGGTCCTAGATTATTAAATGTAATCTATGAGTTTTGAGGATACACACCCGATCCTTGGGTACTCCACCCTATAACCGAGTTTTTGAGGATAACCGCCCGATCCTTGGGTGCTCCACCTAGGGCTGGGCACGGCCCGGGTCGGGGCGGGTATTGCAAAATAAAATGGAACCGCCGGTTCCATTGTACGATTCGGTCCGGTCCGGATATTACAATTTTCAAAATAGGAACCGGAAATTACCCGACCCGTTTGAAATGTGTCGGTCCGGTCCGGGTTTTACGGTTTCTATTCTCATGTCTTGAAATTAGTAAAAACTCACGAAGTTCCAAAAATCAATAATTAATAATATAGGAGATTAGCAAGTTTCAAAATAACAACATAGTGGTGCACATGTAACACAAGCGACAAGTCCAATACTCCATAATTTCATGTATATAAGTTTCAAACAATTAAAGAAATTCCAAAAATATGCAACATAGGCAAAAATACATATTTTCTAACATTTGTATTTAAACATGTTGTCTAACATCACATATTAAAGTGATTGTTTTTTTTATATATTATATTTTTAGTATTAGCCAAAGTTGACACATACATGGTGGGTGGTAAACACAATTTATATATTTTAAGAACAATAAAATAAAAAATATATAACAAAATCATTTTTAACAAATAATTAAATTCCATAGAAAGGAATAATTCAATAACAATAAAAAGTAATAAGATATTTATGAAACATTTAGAGCCCGTTTGGAGAACTATGTTTTTGGCTTATCAGGCTTATCAGCCAGCTTTTTCACCAAACACGTAACTTTTACTTTCGCGCGCTAAATTGTTTAATAAGCCGAAAAAGTAAGGTTGGAGTTACTTTTCTGGCTGTATTGGCTGAAGTTACTGTAGAGGACCATTTTAGCTATTTTTACATATAATTTTTTCTTTAATTTATTAATAAAATATATTTTTAAAATATTTTTTTCTTAAATCAGCAGAATCAGCCAAAACAGCCACTCCAGCCAGAATATCATAAATTTCAGCAGAATCAGCCAAAACAGCCGATTTTGGTGCTACCAAACGGGCTCTTAATCAATAATTTGAAAACAAAAGGATGTTACTGCAACTCAATTTAAAATCCTACTTCTAGCAAAGGAAACAAAACTACTTCAAAACCGATTATCACAAAACTATTAATAAATTAATATACAATATATATAACGGGCCGGGCCGGGTACCCGTTATTTTTTAATTTTGGAACCGGTCCGGTTCCTTAAAAAAAATTACCCGACCCTACCCGGACCGTTTTATGGCAACACAAAATGGAACCGGCCCGTTTTGGCCCCGAACCGCCATTACCCGGACCGGACCGCGGTTCCAAGACCCGTTTGCCCACCCCTAGCTCCACCCTATATAACCGAGTTTTGAGGATAACCGCCCGATCCTTGGGTACTCCACCCTATATAACCGAGTTTTGAGGATAACCGCCCGATCCTTGGGTACTCCACCCGACCTATGACTTACCACATATCACACTAGATAGGGTCTATATCATATTTAGTCATTCATAACTAATTCAATACATAAAACTTATGTATCACATTCCATGCAAAGCCATGCAATTATGTAAATGTATAATTAATTAATACCAGTCGGTATTAATTAATCCATTATCCATCGGTCAACGTTGTGGTTGACCGCCGTCTCAAATCTTACACTTATTAACTAAATCATCATATAATTAAGTTAATAATACTCATTTGTGTTTCTTTTACACTTCAAGCTAATATGCATTTTATATATTTCCTCATATCATATTTCATGCATAAACAATTAATTCTTTTCATACAACTTAATAATGTTGGCTAATCACATGTTTAAATATCTTTTAAACATCATTATGAACACATATAACATTTATTTAGGTAATCTCATAATTAACCCAAAAGTTATAAGATATTAAGCCGTCCACTCACCTTGAACTAGCGTTATGAAGTTCTACCCCTCTTGGTTGAACTCCGGTGAAACTCCGGCGACTCTTGGTCAACTCCGGCGACAACTCCGGCGACTTTTCCAACTTTGTGAAATCACTTGAAATACCTTTCACAAGTTCCTAACAAGGTTTTATAATCATAAAACCCATATTAATACAAATAACCTCAAAACGGTTATTTTCCGGTGAACCGGTCGTTTTGGCTTCTAAGTCCGTTCTTGGACATAGAATCACTTTCCAACCCATAAATCCATACTTATAACATGTAGAACCCTCTTAAGGATCCTTCACATGATATATATCTTATATGGTAGAAGAAAAATAAAGGAAAAGTTATAATAAGGTCATTACCTTAATTGTTCACACTTTTCCCAACCTTTTTCCTTCTCCAAACACTCCTCTTGGGACCTTCTTCCTTGAGCTCGAATTTGGGTGTGAAAATGGTGGATTGTAGAGCTCTTCCTTGCTATTCTTGGGTGCTTGGTCGAGCTAATGAGTGAGGGAGGGGAGGGGATGGCTATCTTTGTCTCATTTGGCAAATGAGTGAGGAAAAGGGCCCCTTTGGGTGTACCTTTGATGCCCAAGCCTCCTCCTCCACATCTTCCTTAGTCAACTCCAGCCCCTCTTTGTCTAATCTAGCACAAAAAAACGTGGGGTGGCCCCCACTCATGTGGGAGGTCATCCCTTTGTGTCCCGATGTGTACAATCGGTCCCGAAAGTTGTATTTTTCGGACTGTTTTAAATATATTTTATTTTATCGGGTCAAATAAAATATATTATGTGCTCTTACTCGTTATGACATGTATAAGGAATATACATTCCCCAACTTTAATTTATAAGTCTCTGAAATTCAGTTTGGGTTGTTATCTGTTAAATTACCAGTACCGGTAATTTGGGCTTCTTTTGACCAATCGGTCAACTCTGGGCCTTTCCATAGCCCAAATGAAATATCCACCACTATATAAATATTATCTTGACCAAGATGAGTAAAATATGTGGTCTCGGAAATGTTGGGTGGTCCCCGCTCCCGATGTGGGTCCCACGTGCAATTTACTATTCACGCGAAAGAAATATAAAAATTTACGACTTCGTAAATTCATAAATTATTCCATAAGGTTTATTACATCATTTACGTAAAAGTAAATACATTTGGGGACGGTGTTACACGCTGCCGCCATCACCCTTCGTAGACGGTTCCTCGCCCTGAGCTTCGCCGACCTCGCCTCTGTCTTCTTCCCTGCCGTTTAGATCTGTTACATTCAGATCTGTTACATTGTTGTGCGGCGCTATGACGACAAGGACCAACACGGCAGGCTGATCTAGATCCAAATCTAAGCGTCTAGGCTTGGGGTTGGTCGGAGGTGTTGCGATGGCTTGGGTTGGTGACACTTGCGGTGGCTACAGTGACACGAGCGACGGGCTATAGTGACATAAAATTTAATAGCGACATACAATTCTGGCAGGCACTATTTTTTCTAAATATATGAACTCCTTGATCACTTTTTTGCCCCTTTTTAAAAATGGTCACTTTTTTGGTAATTGGTTCAAAATTAGTAATATTCAAATAAAAACCCCAATTCTTAATACTCCGTATTAATCTTTTGATTCTATTCATTCAAAATCTCAACATTTTTTTAAATAATACTCCGTATAAAGAAAATTAGAAGAAATTGTTTGAATAGTTGGATCACTAGATAGTCATGTAAAAAAAAACCGACGCGTAGAGACCCGCTCCCTATTGCAAATGGGGCAAGTCCGGGTATTAATATTGACTTATGTTGTGCCGTGCCGCCTTGCATAATATATAAATATACACATTTTTAAAAATTATACTACAACTATACATATACGTACATGTATATGTCTGAGTAATAAGTCATGAATTCCTTGGTCTTTTAAATTTGACTACGTTACCTCTTTCATTCTAATAAAATGGTGGAGTGTTCCATGGCTCCCATTCAAACCCCTTCTGGAGTTTGGTTCATTATCTGGTAAAAAGAAAAAAAAAATACTACGTATGTAGTACTATTCACATTTTTCAACGAGTCGAACAGTGAATGGTCAATGTGTTTTTTATGTTTAGCATTTATATATTCATTTATTCATATATAAATAGATAACTATTCAAATTTAGAATGTTTTATTGCTCTCAAAATAAAAAAAAAATATTAGAATGTTTTATCTTAATTTTTGACACTTTTCATTGTATTATGACCTTGATTTATTTATTTGTTTTTAATAGATATTTGGAAATAAATTTTATGTAAAATTCAAGCTATAACAACTCCACGCAAATATAAATACGTACTAGCTAATTAAGTTGCGATGGGTTGGCAGGTCTTCGGTCAATATTTAATGACTTGTTCAGGTCAAGGGGTGGGGGATCCACCTAGTAAAATCACGAGGCGGGTCTGAGTCTTGCACTATCCATCTTGTCCCGATCCATTGTCATGACTCATGATTATCGCTAGATCAATTTTATTCCATTCAAAGAGTACCAAAATCTATCATCATTGCTTACCTAGCTAATTAATCGATCTCTCACATAATTAGGTCAAAGGGATAGAAGAATCCGATCTTGTAATTCTTTTTATGCAATTCTAACTATTATAACATATATATCATCGATTTGGATAAGACTAGAATATATGACCACCTCTTTGAGATGATCACATAATAAGACCACAAGTTACTTTTTTAAATTAAGAAATAATTACATATTTATGACTGAAATAATGTCTGTTTACAAAAATGTGAGCTCTTAATTAAGTCTAGTAATTATAGTAGTAACTTTAATCATGATAACATATGTTCAATTGTTATATTTAAGTGATCATGACATTATAGTATAGTAAGAGTTAGTCATATTTTTGTAAATAACATTTATATTAGTATTATTTTTTTAAAGCCTCTTTAATTAAATCTTTAAACGAACTACATTAAAATATCTCCTCACGTTTTATGTATTTCAGATATATATTTAAAGAAATTTTTTATTAATTCAAGATATGAAAGTTAGATGAAATGTGTCGATATAGGGCCTGAATAATTGGAAAATGTCAATCTAAGACCTAAATTGTGATTGATTTTTTGGCAATTCTTTCTAGCCTAATATAGTATATGTTCTATATTAAGGCCAACATCCTAGAATTGGGATGTGATTCGAACCTATGATTTCCTTCTTGAGAGTGTCACAGTGATGCCATCAGACCACAAGGTACTTGGCATTTTTTTTTATTTTATTGATTCAATTTCCAATTTCTGATGAAATTGCTTCACAAAAGATTATTAGTTCATTCAAATTAAATAATTTTTAAAATATTCAAAAAAATCATAATAATTTAGATTTTAGATTGATAGTTTTCAATCATTCAAGCCTTATATCAACACATTTCGTCATTTAGATTCTTATTGATAGTACTTTTATGTTTGGAGTCCTCCATTGATAAAGTTTCATATTTAAATTTCGTTGTTTAAAATGATCCAATTTTTTAATCAAATAATTGATACAAATTGATTGCTTTTCTCTCTCTAGGGTTGTCGCTCGGCCTATGGGAGTAGTTTTTAGTCTTCTGCTCGCGCGCGAGGTGTTGGCGAGGGCTTTGACAGGCTCGGCTGAAATCGTTGGCAGCAATGAAGGTTTTGACAGCCTCGGTGCTTCACGTTAATGAAGGCGGAAATAGGGGAGTTGGGAAGCAGACGCAGCTAACCAACGACAAACTTCAGCTTCTTTTCTATGGAGGAGGTCGTGTTTCAGTATAAAAAATGGCTATTGGGGAAGAAAACAACAATTTGAATTTTGATGATGAGGAAGATAGAGTTTTTTATTCAACCGCGAAGGAGGCTGAATTTCCGGTGGTGGGAGTCATTTTCACGGATCGGAAAATCAAGTTTCAGGCTTTCAAAGATTTGTTGGCTTTAATTTGGCGACCAGGCAAAAGGTGTCAATCAAAGAGATAGATGATAAAAGGTATTTGTTTACTTTTAATCATATTGTGGATAAGAATTGTGTTCTCGAAGATGGTCCTTGGTTGTTTGATAGGAATTTATTACTGCTTAAGGTGGTTGGTCCAGATGATATTCCTTCCCCATATGATGAATTTGTTTGAAACTGAGTTCTGGGTGCGGGAAACTATATTGGGGAGTTTATTAGGTTTGATGAGAGCCACTTTGAGGAAAAGTGGGAGTCATATTTGAGAATTAGGGTGAGATTGGATGTGAAGAAGCCTCTAAAGAAGGGTTCTACCCTCATGAGAGGGGGTATTGGACACTGGGTGGATTTTAAGTACAGAAAATTACCTAATTTCTGTTTCATTTGTGGGGTGAATGGACATTCTGATAAATTTTGTCCCTTCAAATATGTGGAGGATATAGTGTTGAAAAAATCCTTTGAGGTAGAACTTCGAGCAGGTGGAGGGGGGAAGACTAGCTCAACAGGGGGTAATATGTAACACCGTCCCCAAATATATAATTACTTTTAAGTAAATGATGTAATAAACTTTATGGAATGAGTAATGAATTTACGAAGTTGTGAATTTTATTATTCCTTGCGCGTGAATAGTAAATTGCACGTGGGACCCACGCCGGGAGTGGGGGCCGCCCGACGTTCCGGAGATCACATAAATTATTCTTATGGGTCAAGATAATATTCATATAGTGGTGGATATGTTATTTGGGCCAAAGAAAAGGCATAATGTTGATCGATTGGTCAAACTAGGCTCAATTACCAGTATTGGCAATTTAACAGATAACAGCCCGAAAATGAATTTCGGAGACTTCTAAATTAATGTTTTGAAATATATATTATTTCAAGAGGCCATTACGATTGAGAACACGTGATATATTTTATTTGACCCGATAAAATAAAATATATTTAAAACAGTCCGAAAAATACAACTTTCGGGGCCGAATATACATTTCGGGACACAAATGGATGACCTCCCACATGGGTGGGGGCCACCCCACATTGTTGTGTGCTCAAATTGACTAAATGAAAGCTGGTAGTACACTTGATGGGAGGGTGAGACAATTGGAGACATCAAATGGGGTCCCTCCCACACTTATTAGCTAAATGGGACAAAAAGAACTCATCCCCCTCTTCCCTCATCATTGTACTCGGCCATAGCATCAAGCAGAAGCAAGAGGTAGCTCTCAAACCAGCTTCCATTGTTGCAGCACGAGCTCAAGGAAAAAGTGGTCCAAAGGAGAGGATTAAAGAGGGAAAAAGTTGGGAAAGGTGTGAATAATTAAGGTAATGACCTTATTATAACTTCTCCTTTATTTTTCTTCTACCATATGAGGTATATATCATGTGAAGGACCCTTAGTATGGTTCCACATGTTATGGGTATGGATTTATGGGTTGGAAGATGGTTCTATGTCCAAGAACGGACTTAGGAGCCAAAACAACCGGTTCACCGGAAAATAACCTTTTTGAGGTTATTTGTACTAATATGGGTTTTATGATTATAAAACCTTATTAGGAACTTGATTATGGTATTTCAAGAACTTTCACAAAGTTGAAAAAGTCAC